TATAATACTTAAAGATAACTAATTCCTTTGCCAAGAGGTGTTGGAAGTTCAGATGTTTCATTTTGTTTGGAATAGGACCAGAACTTCATATGCTCAAGTAATGAAGGCAGGATCCGAATCGAGGCAGTGGCCTTCTTCAGGCACTGCCGGCGGCCTCCGTGATTTAACAAGCCTTTGCTAAAACCCACTAGGTGCAAAGCTCTGCTCAATGCAATCAATACTTATTGATAAAAGATAATCACTGAACACTATAACAATTACATGTAATAAAAAGCCTCACTGGCCTTCTAAAACAGGATCTATCTATCTATCTATCTATCTACACACACACACACATATAGATTCATTCATATGTATTCATATATACAAATATTCTACACATTCACAGGGGCATGTGTGTGGAAATATATATATATATATTCCTGTATATATGTGAATAGTCTACTCATCCATTAAAAATAAAATAAAATGTATCTTTTGTAGCAACACGGTTGGAGCTGGAGGCCATTATCCTAAATGAACTAGCTCAGAAAAAAAAACACAAATACTCCATATTCTCACTTATTAAGTGGGGGTTAAACAAGTGTTATATATGAACATAAAGATGGAAATAACAGACCCTTGGGAACTCCAAAAGAAGGGAGGATGGGAAGAGGGTTGAAAAATTACCTATGGGGTACGATGCTCACTATTTGAATAATGGGTAACTAGGAGCCCAATCCCTAGCAGTCGGCAGTATACCCTGTAACAAACATGCACATGTACCCCCTAAATCTAAAGTTAAATAAAATACAATTTAGGAAAAACTTCATCAGTGACTCAAAACCTATTTGGAATTTTGGTACCATGTTTGAGTTCACAACTCTTTTCTAGCCTAAAATTGCAGCTTTGTGATTCATATTTGGAACCAAAACTTTGAATGAAATAAATATTTGCTTCCAAATGCAACAGTAAAAAAAATGTCAAGTGGGACCTAATTAAACTGAAGAGCTTCTGCGCACCAGAAGAAACCATCAACAGAGCAAACAACCTACAGAATGGGAGGAAACATTCACGGAGAATGCATCCAACAAAGGTCTAATATCCAGAATCTGTAAGGACCTTAAATCAACAACCAAAAAACAACCCCATTAAAAAGTGGACAGAAGACATAAACAGACGCTTCTGAAAAGAAGACACAAGAAGCCAGCAAACATGAAAAGAAAACTCAACATCAGTGATCATCAGAGATACACAAATCAAAACCACAATGAGATACCATCTCACGCCAGTCAGAATGGCTATTATTAAAAAGTCAAAAAATAACATGCTGGGGAGGCTGTGGAGAAAAGGTTGTGCTTAAACGTTGTTGGGGAGTAAAATTAGTTCCGCCACCGTGGAAAGCAGTGTGGCAATTTCTCAAAGAACTTAAAACAGAACTACCATGTGACTCAGTGATGCCATTATCGGGTATATACCCAAAGGAATAAGACACACGCAGTTATACGTTCACTACCGTGCTATCCACAAAGACATGGAATCAACCTAGGTGCCCATCAGTGGTGGCCTGGATAAAGAAAATGAGGCACATAAACACCACGGGATTCTATAAAGCCATGAAAAAGAATGAAATCATTTCTTTTGCAGCAACATGGATGGAGCTGAAGACCATGTTCTCACTAAGTGAGAACATGTGGCATTTGGTTTTCTTTGTCTACATTAATTTGCCTATGAAATTAGGGGCTAAACATGGAGCATGCATGGATGGAAACATGGGAACAATATACACTGGGGTCTACTACAGTGGGGACGGAGTGGGTGCGTGGGTTGAAAAACTATCTATTGGGTACTATGCTCATTATCTGGGTCCAGTATACCCCTACAACAATCCTGTACATGTACCTCCTATATCTAAAAACAAGAGCAGAAATTTAAAATAAATAACTAAATATTTGCTTTTCTCCTTATAGATCTGCCCTTGGGATATGATAACCCAGCCTTTTCCCAGTGTCCCCAGATAGTGCTTGGAATGAGAGTCCTCAATGCAGCCTAACTCATGGGACCATAGACATCATCTGTCACAGAATGAGTTCAGCCTCAGCAGCTCAGATGCCAAAACCCCTCTAGAATCCTCCTGGATGAAATACTCAATACTGTACTAAGAGCCTTCTCCCAGGGGTATGGAAGCTGAATAGTCTGACATGGAAAAATTGGAAAAGTTGTTAGGAAAACCCTGGAACGAAGAGAATATTTTCCCTGGCTAGAAACACTGCGGCTAAAAATAGCACAATGAAAAACATATTTGTCTCTTACTTACAATGGATGTAGAATATAATTATGGGCTGTGTTTCTGTCTGGGCTAGAGGCAAGGGAGGTGCCAATGTCTAGAATACAGAAGGAATAAAGGACAGTGTCTTCAACTCCTAGGTTCCCTCTGCACCCTGTAGCGACCACAGCCCCTTGGTCACTTGGGTTCTCACTCAGAAAATACCTGTAATATTAAACTCTGACTCTAATTGTATGGCCAAGAAAAATTTCAGGCAGGTAAACTATAAAATTTTAAGTCTGTGCAGTACTTGAGCTCCTATCAGTAGGTACCAGTAAAAAAGGAAATTAATATCACTTCTAGAGCCTGTCTAGAAAAAAGTGGCAAAAGCATAATTAATGTAAAAATATAAATATCTGGCTCCTTTGACACACTGAACATTTTGTATTTTAATTAATTTACAGAATAATTGCTACTGCTGGGAGTTATTTCAATAACACAGTCTTTTTTTTTATGCCTCCTAAAGTGAGAAAAAGTGCAGGCAGTACAGGACAGTTGATCATGCTGTATTTTCCAGTATCTCTCTGAGCCACAGTTTCTTCATCTGTAAAGTGGAAATAATAAAGATTGCTAGCCGAGGCCGGGCGCAGTGGCTCACGCCTGTAATCCCAGCACTTTGGGAGGCCAAGGTGGGTGGATCACTTGATCCCAGGAGTTTGAGACCAGCCTGGGCATCATGGTGAAACCCCATCTCTACCAAAAGTATAAAAATTTAGCCAGGCATGGTGGCATGTGCCAGTGGTCGGGAGGCTGAGGTAGGAGGATTGCTTGAGCTGGGGAGGCGGAGGTTGCAGTGAGCTAAGATTGTGCCACTGCACTTCAGCCTAGGTGACAGAGACCCTGTCTCAAAAAAAAAAGACTGCTATTCTTACTTGACTTCTAGCCATTACTTGTAATGATAAGAGGAAGTAAAGAATATAAAAATACTTTTTTTTTTTGAGACAGTTTCGCTCCTGTTGCCCAAACTGGAGTTCGAGATGGAGTTTCACTCATGTTGCCCAGGCTGGAGTGCAATGGCGTGATCTTGGTTCACTGCAACCTCCGCGTCCTGGGTTCAAGAGATTCTCCTGCCTCAGCCTCCTGAGTAGCTGGGATTACAATCATGCTCCACCATGCCTGGCTAATTTTATATTTTTAGTAGAGATGGGGTTTCTCCATGTTGGTCAGGCTGGTGGTCGAACTCCCAACCTCAGGTGATCCTCCTGCCTCGGCCTCCCAAAGTGCTTGGATTACAGGCATGAGCCACCTGTCTAAAAACACTTCATAAACATCCAATGCCATTTCAATGGTAAGTGAAAACAATCCCTAACATTTAGAACATGAATGCTGAGAACTGTGCTACTGTGTTTTATAACTTAATCCTCACAACACAGCTGCTGGCATCCCATTTTATGGACATGATGACTGAGGCCTAAGGACATGAATTTACTTTCCCCAGGTATTTATACAGCCGCTAAGTGGTGAAGCCGGAACTCAAGGTTCAGGCCTTCTGATGCTGGAGACATAGTTCTTTGTCATTCACTGTTTTGCAATAACTGTGGTAACAATTTAATATGAATGTGAGCTCTGGCATTAATCCACATTATCTAACTGCAAAATTTCAGGAGGTCTCATTCTCACACGAGGCAGTTTTTAAAACATTTTGAAAGCCTGTCCACTTGCTCCTAAGGAGTTTTACTTTCAAAAGTCCAAATTCCCATTTCACAGGTATCTTTCAGTGATTCTGAACTCTGTGCTTTAACCTCATGCACCGCCAGGCACTATGTGGAAGAAACAATAAGCTTTCTTTGTGTTCTTTTTAAGCTTGGTAGACCTAACTACTCACAGGGCAACTGATACCTCTGAACTAACCCCTTTCAGCTAACCCGCAGATCCACAGCCACATCCAATGATTGCTATCACCTCCAAATGGCTGGCAAGACTGTTTACTTAGCCTCACTAGCAGCTGAAGCAAACAAAAAAAAATCCCCCGTACTCCCAAGTGACCAGGATTTTCTTTTAAACCATGCTTCAGAAACTACCTTTATCACCCACACCCCACCTTCCCCCAAGAAGTCTTTATCTGCCTTCTTGGAATTTAGAAGTCAGGCTTCCCTAAAACCTAAAAACTGTAATGTCTCTAACAGGATTTTTTGTATTGTTTTTTCTGGTCTCGGAAAAATGCCTCGGTGAGAAAAGCATACAGATACATACTTTTAAAAAGTGCAATGTTCATAAACCTGATTCAACGACTATTTCTGCAGTATTCCATGGATTTTATTTTTGGCATTTTCACAGTGTGAAAATACAAAAGTCTCAATTTCAGGTCTGTCTTAAGAGTAAAACACACACACACACACACACACACACACACACACAACATCTGGGAATAAATAACAAATACATAGAGCATCTCAATTTTCAGATTGTCCATCTAACCCTTATCTGCAGCATTTTTATAGCAGTATTCACAGGGCACAATCAGCAGAATGCACAATGCATCACTTGTTTTCAGCTCTATTCAAAAATCTCAGTTCATTCAATATAAAAAAAAAAAAGCCCCTAAAAACAGCCTTTAAGCACGAACATTGCTATGGGAAAGCTGGGCTTATTGATTCAGTTCTTCCTGCCAAGAGAACAATGCCAAGAAACAGAGCGAAATGTTTCCAAGTAATTTTTGGCAAAAACTTGGAAGAAGAAAACCCCACATATTTACCTGTACCCAGAGCTCCACAGGTGAAGCGGCAGTTAAAGCAGAAAAATCAAATTCTTCTGGAAGTTTTTGTCTCCAATAGACTCCAGGGTCTTCCTTCCGAGCTGTCAGGTAAAACCCCCTTCCATGTCTGTGCTGTTTTCTTTTGCAGTTTTTCCCAGTGAAACTCTCGTCATTTGCATAAAACCTACTTGTAGCCTATAGGACTTTTTGAGTAGCTACTTGTTAAATCGGCTGTCTTGACATGCTCTTTCAAGCATGACATCATAAATCTCCATGGAAACCCTAACCCCACCTGCCGACATGCCAACATTACCTGTCAGGCCGAGACTTAAACAATCGTCTGAAATTGTTCATTAATGAAACCTTTTTAGGGACTTTGGATCTCTGCACAGTGTAATTTGTGCTGTTGGCAGAAACCTAGCCGGGAACGGCGGCTTCATTTTCAAAGCCTGAGCTGTTTTGCAGAAAACAATGATCAAAATTATAGGCATTCGTTAATCTGCCCCTCCCTGTCTAACAATGCACTTAATTGGTGGAAGAAAAACCTACAGCAGCCATGTGTATCTCTCTCTGCAGGATAAAGTTACCTTGAAAACTCAGGTCTTGAAAAACCTTCAACTGATACTTCTAAGGCTTTTCCACTCTGCACTCCACCAGCCCCCTTCCTAGTTTTTACCAGCAAAACTTGCAAAACAGGTTCCCTGCCAGAGTGTGTATGTGTGTGTGTGCATTTCTCCTTGGCTTCTATGGCTGCAGAGGTGGTAGGAAAACGTGTGGAGAATTTTTTAACTCTTTCCTAACATATCCACTTATTTTGCATGTCTATCCTAGTGTATGTAACTTACCAGAATTACACTGAAATCTATTCTCGGCTTTGGGAAATGGCTTAGGCTCTAAGATACTCAGTATCTGAGTATAGCTGTCTTTCTTCTCACCTCCTAATTCACTGCAGACACATTTCTCACTCCCCAAGTCTAAGACTGCTGACCGCCAGGCACCAGAAAATTTGAATAGGACTCAGTTCAAACCCATAGGAGTTTATCATAATGTTATCAAGTCTCTGTCATATGCCACAGTACGAAGTTCTTCCCTGGGACTGAGCAGGGAGTTGAATGAAGTTACACACTCAGAATGAGCTGAGAAGCACTTTAAGGCAGGCTCGAGGAAGATGGGACACTGCAGAGTTTTGGAAAGAGCAGTAGCTGAATGGGCAGTCTTCTGTAACTTGCCACAGATCCCACTGCAAACTGCAACAAGTTCAGTGCATCCGTCTTCAAAGGTCATAGGGCAAACATTAACCTTTACATCTTGCTGGGTGCAGCAGGTATTTACAGAAAGAGCAATCATAGGTTAAAAAAAAAAAAACCTCAGAATAACTCTTTGCATAGTAGGGAATTGTAAATGCTTTGGATCCTCTCCTCGAATGATTCTGCAAGCTTTGCATTGCCATAGTTTAGTCAACAGATGGGACGTTACCTTTGAAGGGAACCAAGAACTACCCTGCTTTAATATTGCAGCCAGAGTTGGAGCACTACTCAGGGACAAGACTACTGTCAGAGATTCAATTAATGCCTCTGTGAGATAAAAATGCATTCAGATGAAGCCCGTGCTTGGGCTTTACCCAGTGGGGCACAAACACAACGTGAAACAAACAAAATCCAGGTATAACCAGATCTAGGCTTGATTCAGTCAAATTTGAAGATGGGATGGAGGCACTATTCAATTACAGTTATCCCTCAAAATTCCATTAGAGAGAAGAGCAGTGCAAGTGGATTCAGCAGTCAGAGTGGTTGTAAATTATGCCAGATCTTCCCTTTGGGTTATTTAGGAAATTACAGTATCTCAGCTTTTGCTTATTGAATTCAGGCTTGGAAAAGAAAGAAGAGTCACATTGTAAAGGCAAATGGAGATAGTCACAGAAATAATTCTAATGGAAAAGTAACTCCATGAACAGTTTCATCAGTGGGCAGGCAGAGGTAAACACAAGAAAAGAACTGATAACCAGCAATGCCATTATTATGATGACACAGAGGTACTGAACAACTTAGAGCTGGGAAACTGTCCGGCAATACAGATCTCAGCAATAAGGACAACACGTGAGGGCTGCGCAGAAATGCCAAGACCTGATTAGAAGTGACGCCAGTCCAGTGATGATTTTTCCTACCAGCCCCAAATGAGAAAAATACCTCGCTAAGCCTTAATGACATTGTGATTTGCCTGATGGCAACCTTAGGATCACGTTAATCAAGTCAGAGCTCAATAAATGAATGTAGATGAGTTATTTTTATTTCTAAATTTAGCAACACCATAGGTACCTATGATTGACTTGGAGAGCAAATAAGATTCTCTGTCTTGAATTCACTTCAACAAACCTGTTTTATAGCAGAGGTATAAAAAGGGTCAGGAGCAGTGGCTCACGCCTGTAATCCTAGCACTTTGGGAAGCTGAGATGGGAGAATCATTTGAGCCCAAAAGTTCGAGATCAGCCTGGGTAAAATAGCAATACCCCAACTCTACAAACAATGCAAAAATTAGCCTGGCATGCTGTTGTGTGCCTCTAGTCCCAGCTACCCAGATGGCTGAGGTGGGAGGCATGCCTAAGACCAGAAGTTTGAGGCTACAGTGAGCCATGTTTGCACTACTGCATTTATGACTTGAATTTTTGTTTCTTAAGAAATATGAGCCAGGTGCGGTGGTTCACACCTGTAATCCCGGCACTTTGCCAGGCCGAAGCGAGTGGATCACCTGAAGTCAGGAGTTCAAAACCAGTCTGACCAATATGGTGAAACCCCCCTCTCTACTAAATACCAAAAAAATTAGCTGGGCGTGGTGGCACGTGCCTGTAATCCCAGCTACTTGAGAGGCTGAGGAAGGAAAATTGCTTGAACCTGGGAGGCGTAGGTTCCAGTGAGCCAAAATTGCGCCACTTCACTCCAGCCTGCTCAACAAGAGCAAAACTCTGTCTCAAAAAAACAAAACAAAACAAAAAAAGGAAGAAAAGAAACATGAATTGGAAGTTGTCAGGTAGAAGAGGAATACTTACTTTGAAGAGAAATACCAAATTTTTTTATTATTCAAAAAACCAACTGCTATCTCATTGAAGCTTCACAGCAATAGTATAATGTAAGAACACTCATTATTCCCATTTTACAAATGGGAATATTGAGCCTTAGAGAGGTTAGGTAATTTCAGTAAGTTTACCAGGCTACTAAGTGTTGGAGTAGAGATTTGAACTCAGGCTGACCCAAGATTTAAACCCAAAACACCTGTGCTTAACTACCAGGCACTGATACTCCTGGTTTAACAAAATTGCTTATAATTGGGATACGAAGATCCTAAGTAAATGAAACCAAGCTGAAAGGATTTATTTAGCAGATGAGTCTGAAAGTGCATACTGGATTGTAAAGGGTCAACGCAGACCTTCTGCAGATCCTCCGGGATACCAGGTTAACAGATGGTACTGGGGTCTGCGGTAGTTCAGACAGAAACATCAGCACACCAGCCGCCTTGGAGAAGGAATAAGTATTTAGCTGCAGGCTGTTTTTAGTCCCAGTAGGACTGCACAGAACAGAGTTAATGCATTGCAACTCAGGCCTTAGCTCTCAAAACCCTAGGGCAAACAGATCTTTAGGACGTAGATAAAGCTAATGAAATAGCGACTCTTAAGAAGTATCTGCAATCTGAAACTGTCAAACATGACAAAGATAGAAAAACCCAGATATACATTTTTTAAGTCAAGACCACACTGTAAGTTCCACAGAAAGATAAGAATGCTTGGATCCTTTAATGAAACAATAGCTCCCAACTGTGGTAATTCTCTAATGCTAAGCCGCATCTTTGGCTCTGCGTTTGATTGTAGTTGTTACCTGTTTTTAAAAGTTACCCATTCACATTTTGGCAACTGTTGCTATGGTGCAGAGGAGGATGGTTAATTTCATGTTTCAACTTGTCCCAGTTATGGTGCCCAGTTGTTGGGTCAAACACAAGTCTAGGTGTTGCTGTAAAGGTATTTTTAAGGTGTGATTAGCATTTAAATCAGTAGACTTTGAGGAAGGCAGACTGCCCACCATAATGTGAGTAGACCTCGTTTAACCAGCTGAAGACCTTAAGAGCAAAGACTGAGGTCCCCCAAAGAAAAAGGAATTCTGCTACTGGTTCTGATATTCTGAAGAACTGTGACTAATACAGCTGATACCTCCAACACGTATTGTCTAGTCTTGTTTTCTGGCATAGAGTCCAGTCCGATTCTATCTCCAACTGTTTCACAGTCATTTTCACTTGGAGTAACCACTGTCATTTCAGATACAGCTTGTCAAGCCCTAAACTAAAGCAATTGTTTAGTATTTACATAGCATGAGACATATTTAAGAGAGAAGAAGAAGAGACATACAGTACTTGCTGTCAAATTAAGATGGAGAAATAAAGTCCATCAGTTGTTATACTAAATGTTAATGGACAGACTTTCCCATTAAAAAATGGTTAATGAATTTGGCTAAAAAAGAAAACCCAAGTTATTTATATGTAGTTTCTTTTTCTTTCTTTCTTTCCTCTTTTTTTTTGAAACAGAGTCTTGCTCTGTCACCCAGGCTGGAGTGCAGTGGCATAATCTCGGCTCACTGCAACCTCTGCCTCCTGGGTTCAAGCAATTCTCCTGCCTCAGCCTCTGAGTAGCTGTAATTACAGGCATGTGCCACCACACCCAGCTAATTTTTGTATTTTTAGTAGAGACAGGGTTTCACCATGTTGGCCAGGCTGATCTCAAACTCCTGGCCCCAGGTGATCCACCCGCCTCAGTCTCCCAAAGTGCTGAGATTGCAGGCGTGAGGCACTGTGCCCAGCCAATATGTGTGTAGTTTCTAATAAACATCCTCATTACAGTTTGAGTATCTGTTATCCAAAATGCTTGGAATAACAGATTTCAGGTTTCAGATTTGTTTGGATTTTAGAATATTCGCATTATATAGCTAGAGTTGAGCATCCCTAATCCCAAAATCCAAAATCCAAGATGCTTCCATGAGCACCACCTTTGAAAGTCATTTTGGTGCTCAAAAAGTTTCAGATTTGGAGACATTTCATTTTGGATTTTCAGTTTAGGGATACTCAACCTGTATTAATACAGAAATGTTTAAAATAAGACATACCTGACAGATGCAAACAAATGTAAATTGAGAGTGATAATATTTAAAAAAAGAACGTTAACAGACACCAAACAGAATGAAGAGGTCATCTGATAATGCTAAAGACATAATTTCTAAGGAAGGTAGGCTCATCGTAACTAAGAACCTGTGAAGCAGAAATTCTTAGGAATGCAGGGAGATCAAGATAGAAGTACAATTAAATGGGAGACTTCATTATACTTTGCTTAGACGTGAACAACCTTAAAGACTGAGAAGAAATGAATCAACAAACCCAACATATATATGTGTATATGTATATGCGTAGAATACAGAATAAATAACTGTCCAGGAATATCCATGCAATTCTTATGAACACTGATTGTGTGTTTTATTCTAAGAAAAACTTTTTAAACTAGTCTTTAAGCGAAATTTAAAAGTAAGAATTTTACAGACTGCATTCTCTGATCACATCTAACAAAATTATAAATGAGTAATGATAGCCTCAACTACTTGGAAATTAAATATTCCTGGGTAACCCCACACTCAGATCAGACCCAAAAGTTTGTACTCTTTCCACTAAAGAGACATCTCTTTGACAGTGCATGCTATGGTTTAGATATTTGTCCCCTCCAAATCTCATGTTGAAATTTAAGCCCAAGGTTGAAGGGACATAATGGGAGGTGTTTGAGTTATGGTGGCTGGTGGATCCCTCATGAATGGCATGAATGCTCTCCCTTGGAGGTGAGTGAGTTCCCACTTTATTAGTTCCCCTGAGAACTGGCTGTTAAAAGAGCACAGTACCTCCTCAACAGTCTTGCATCCTCTCATACAATGTGATCTCTGCAAACCCAGGCTCCCCTTTTGGTCATGAGTGGAAGCCTTCTGAGGCCCTCACCAAATGCCGATGCCCAATCTTGAACTTTCCAACCCTCAGAATCATAAGCCAAATAAACCTTTCTTCTTTATAAATCACCCAGCCTTGGGTATTTTTAACAGCAACATAAGTGGACTAACAGAGGGCAGAGGTTGGGTTCGGTATTTTTTATTGTTCTTTATTTTATTGAGACAGGGTCTTGCTCTGTCACCCAGGCTGAGGTTGGTGGAATGGTCATGATTCACTGCAGCCTTGACTTCCCAGGCTCAAATGATCCTCCCATCCATTTCAGTCTCCTAAGTATCTAGGACCATAGGTGTATACCACTATGCCTGGCTAATTTACATATATGTGTTTTTTTGTAGAGACAAGATTTTGCCATGTTGCCCAGGCTGGTCTCGAACTCCTGAGCTCAAGCAATCCACCTGTCTTGGCCTCCTAAAGTGCTGGGATTACAGGGAGGAGCCACGATGCCCGGCCTTCTACTTTTATAGAATGCTCAATGTCAACCTCAAAATGTATATCCATAATAAATAAGCATTCGAATGAATTAATCCAAGAACATACCTGCAGGAAGAATGAATAAATGGCAAAGACTCAAGTTTGATAAGAAAAGATAGGAAGGACAATTTGAAAATTTGCAATACGAGTTCTCCATCTTTGCACTGGACTTAATCACACTGATCTGTTTTAGATCCCTCAACACTGAAAATTTCCAACTAATTTTGCAGCAATTTCCTCTAGCTTTTGCTGATTACCACTTCCCAGGTATCTCCTGACACTGCCTAGCTAGACTTCGGTTCTTGCCTTTCCATACTTCCCCACCTACCCCCGGGCACTCCTTAGTGGGTTTTCTAGTTGAATCATGTTTTGATTTCTTGTAGAGCTTTTCTTAATATAGCACTGTTCTCAAGATATGTTCTCTTGCTCTTCCACATCACTAATTAAAATGAAAGCTAATGCTGAGGTTGGTGGCACCCAATTAAACATGGATCAAAAGTGATGTGTTATGAATGATCCCTATTTAGGATGCTCTTTTTCTGCATCCTGGGTGATTAATGTCAACTGTAAATCAATTTTGCAAAGAAAACGGCAACCCCTGAATTTAGTCTTTTCAATTATTCAGTCTCTGCTGTAAGATGTCCTACTGTGTAATGGTCCAAATCTTCTGAGACGTACTTCAATGACCTTTGAGTCACAATTCAAAATATCAGTCCTTGGCCAGGTGCAGTGACTCATGCCTGTAATCCTAACACTTTGGGAGGCCAGGGCAGGTGAATTCACTTGAAGTCAGGAGTTTGAGACCAACCTGGCCAACATGGTGAATGAAACTCCATCTCTACTAAAAATACAAAAATTAGCCAGGCATGGTGGCATGTGCCTGTAGTCCCAGCTACTCGGAAAGCTGAGGCAGAGGAATCACTTAAACCCTGGAGGCGGAGGTTGCAGTGAGCTGAGATCGCACCACTGCACTCCAGCCTGAGTGACAGAGTGAGATGCCATCTCAAAAATGAATACATAAATAAAAAGTAAAATATAAATCAGTCCTCCAGGAATCACATTCAGGCTAGCTCCTTCATCTCATCCCTTGAGGAACATCATCTGTCTTAGATATTAGGCTCTTGTTTCTGTTCATGTTTTAAAAAATTTGGTTTTTCATTACACCCAAATTTAAATGACGATTGTCTCTGGTCACTGACTGACCACATCCTGATTTTCCTTAGACACATCTAAGATTATCTGGAATTTCTCTGAGGACAAGAGTTTTTTTTTTTTTTTTTTTTGAGAAGAAGTCTTACTCTGTCGCCTAAACTGGAGTGCAGTGGCATGATCTTGGCTCACTGCAACCTCTGCATACTTGGTTCAAACAATTCTCCTGCTTCAGCCTTCCAAGTAGCTGAAACTATAGGCGCATACCACCATGCCCTGCTAATTTTTGTATTTTTAGTAGAGAAGGGGTTTCACCATGTTGGCCAGGCTGGTCTTGAACTCCTGACCTTGTGATCTGCCCACCTCGGCCTCCCAAAGTGCTAGGATTACAGGCCACCACGCCCAGTCAAGAGATGTTTTTATACTGATTCAATCTTGTCATATTCTTTGCTCACAGGCCTCCAGTATTCCATTAAACACACACTCATGCATGCAATAGTATAAATTCTCCAGATAGGACTTGTGATTCTGTTATGAACGCCATACTTCTTTCATGTGCAGTGGGTGCTCTGAAAATGTTTAACATCTTCTCAATTTTCACTTGCTGCATACTCACCACTATATATACAACTGCTTCTTTATTTTTCTTTCTTTCTTTATGAAACCGAGTCTCACTGTTACCCAGGCTGGAGTGCAGAGGCACATCACTGCTCAGCTCACTGCAGCCTTGACCTCCCGGGCTTGGATGATCCTCCCAACTCAGCCTCCTGAGTAGCTGGGACTACAGGCATGTACACCACTGCTTCTTTAGTGCCAAAATCCTTTTCTTCTTCGAATTGTTAAAGGCAGATCCAATCAGGACGCTGGCACTTCCTCCATTCTAGGATGAGCACTAAATCTCACTCACACCTACTGACACTAGGCAGACTGGACTCCAGTCTAGTCCTTCTTTCCCTTAGCATTTCAGACATCTTTCTGTTCCATCCTCCATCAGAGAGTTGGTCTCACCAAAAGTCAAGAGCAAGGCCCCACAGAAAGATAATTGGATTTAAATACGGGTGCTGCCACTTACTGGCTGGGTCCCCTCGGACAAGCCCAAACTGCTTTGTGCCTCTGTTTTCCATTCTGTTAACTACAGTTAATAGTAGTGACTACCCCATGCCTGTAATCCCAGCACTTTGGGAGGCCAAGGTGGGTGGATCACTTGAGGCCAGGAGTTCAAGACCAGCCCGGGCAATATGGTGAAACCTCGTCTCTACTAAAAATGCAAAAGTTATCCAGGCATGGCTCAGACACCTGCAATCCCAGCTACTTGGGAGGCCGAGGCAGGAGAATTGCTTGAACCCAGGAGGCGGAGACTGCAGTGAACCAAGATCGCGCCACTGGACTCCAGCCTGGATGGCAGCGCAAAACTTCGACTCCAAAAAAAACAAAAAAACACAAAACAGATAGTAGTGCCTACTCCACAGAGTTGTAGAGGGATAACTATACTGCAGATTCGGCATCCCTAATCTGAAAATTCAAAATCTGAACAGCTCCAAAATCTGAGACTTTGAGTAGCACCATGACACTCAAAGGTCATGTTCATTGGAGCATTTCGGATTTCAGATTTTCAAATTAGAGATATTCAACCAGTAAGTCTATAATTCAGATATTTCAAGATCCACCCCCAAAATTTGAAATCTGAAGTATGTCTGGTCCTGGGCATTTCATATAAAGGATACTCAACCTGTAATATGTGTAAAGAGAAACAGCACTGCGATTTTAGCTGATGGCAATAATATATTCTCCTTATGGTCGTTTCCACTTTTTCACCATTATTAATAGTTGTTGAAAAAATAGTGCTAAAAAAATACTACGCATGTTACCGGCTTTCTCTGTGTTCTCGATAGTTTGGGTAAGGGTGTTTCTTCCCTCTTCCTATTGTGGCTTATTTATTTGTTTTTATTTACATATGTTTTTGGGGAATAGGTGGAATTTGATTACATGAGTAAGTTCTTTAGTAGTGATTTGTGAGATTTTGGTGCTATTATCTGCTCTGCACACAGTATATTAGATTTCTTAATTGTTAAAAAAAAATATGTCCTTTTTCCCCAAAAGTTTAGGTAAGAAACTGCTCTGAGGCCGGGTGCTGTGGTTCATGCCTGTAATCCCGACACTTTGGGAGGCTGAGGCAGGCGGATCACGAGATCAGTGTTCGAGACCAGCCTGGCCAACGTGGTGAAACCTTGTCTCTACCACAAAAATTAGCTAGGCGTGGTGGTGTGAGACTGTAATGCTAGCTACTCGGGAGGCTAAGGCAGGAGAATCGCTTGAACCCGGGAGGTGGAAGTTGCAGTGAGCCAAGATAGTGCCATTACATTCCAGCCTAGGTGACAGTGAGAGACTCCCTCTCAAAAAAACAAATTAATTAAAAAAATAAATAAACTTCTCTGTAAACTCATATTCAGTTCACACAAGTGACTA